GGCTCGTGGTAAGTGGTCGTACCTAACTTAAGAAGCAGCTTTGTAATTATTGCATATTCTTTTATGGTTTTGAAAGATAACTATTGTAATTACTACATATTCCTTTATGTTTTTGAAAGATTACTATCTTCTAGCTCTAGGATCATTTGGCAACTACATTTGTGCCTTTTTGTATTTTTCATTTTTCCAAAAATTTTTGGTTGTAAATAATCACTTGGTTTCCAACAACGATTTCATTTTTCATGATATAATTTCTCTCTATCTGCTCTTCACAACCAAGGATTAATAAGGGAAAAAAGAAAATTACATTGTTTCATTTATTGCCTTTGCTCCGAAATATTTGTAAATAGCCCTTGCCAGAAAATCATTTCCCATAAAGCTGAAGGATTTGTTGGTTTCTCTATGGCCAACGGCAGTATTTGCTTACTGAATTACCTTATGGTTTGGCTCGATTCCTGTTAATTGGCAATCTGAATGCTGTGTTTCACCAAATTCTCTATTTGCTTCCATGATTTTCACAGACTTCAAATTGATGAAAGAAAAACCTGGCACTCAGTGTCATCACTGGCTAGAATCTCGTTGGGACCATGTCTTCTCACTTGGAATTTAACTATATCCCTGCACATATAGCCTTAGCTGAAGTTCAAACCAGAAATTACTGTTTCCATCTTTATCAACAAAGTAGTTGCTACTATCTTGACATTAACAGCTGCCTTGTAATGGTTTCAGGTATCCACTTGTTTCTGATAGCAATGTACAATGTGTGGGATCTGATCTCCAATACATCCCCCTCATAGAGTGCCTTAAGCTAGAGTCCCGCAAGGGGCTCATGCTTGCAGTTCTGTCTCGTTTCTTGCTCATCCCTGCATTCTATTTCACTGCAAAATATGGAGATCAGGGATGGATGATATTCCTCACATCCTTCTTGGCTGACTAATGGTTATCTCACTGTTTGTGTTCTCACAGTAGCTCCCAAAGGTTACAAGGTCAGTTAGAGTTCATATCACATTTTGTTCCATTATGTATACGTGATTTAAATGCTTCTCCTCATTATGATAGTGCTTGATCATGTGCAGGGCCGGAGCAAATGCCACTGGGTAACATTCTAGTGCTATTTCTCCTGGGAGGGATATTTTCTGGTGTTGCTCTGGACTGGTTGTGGCTCATTGGCACCATCAGAAGTTTTAAAGGAACAACTAGAGTTCCAAATGGGTATAATTATTTGTCAAAGAGAAATTTCTGATCTTCTTTACGCCTGATCGCAGTCATTTTATTGTTCATATAGATATTTGCTCTCTGTTCTGGTGGTGTTGAAATGTACAAAATGAAGATGCCAGCCAGAACTGCTAGTGCACTGATAGATTACTGCCTTGTTTTGGGTTATGATTGCATTGATTGAATCACCAAAGCAGCCATTGAAAGCAAAATTAGAATATTGTGAAATTTGATGATGGATAAATACAGGTTCAGGGATAACTCAACTAATTAATAACTTGTAGAATATCATCCATTTGCAGAAAAATCTGAGACATTTTAAAAAGATCCATTGTTGGACTCTTATACCATATATAAATGCAAGCCCTTCCATTTTATTTAAAAAAAAAAAAGAAAGAAAAAGAAACAGAGTATATTATAGACGTACGTATTATTTATACATGTGAAATCATAAACCAGCAGAGTCAGAAGCTGTTTACTAATTGGCTTAAACTCCCATCTCTCCCTACCATTAAAGATATTAAAAGTAAAGTAATTTTTAAAAAAAAAATTGGAATTTGAAATATAAGCAACTATTCACTGGATAAGGATCTAATTGTATTGTAGTGAAAAATTAGTTGTGCCTTGTACGAAATAGTTCGAGCTTTAAGATATTGCACCTACGAACAAATGAAGTACTTGGTAGTTCGTCTATCTGAGGAGGGTTCTACAATGCCTAAGTTCTTCTTTTGCATTTTTTAAGGCACTCCTGTTCGTTGGTTTGGAGTTACGATGTGATTTGAAACCCCATTTTCAGATTCTTATTTGTTTGACCCACAATTCAAGTCACAATATTTGAGTCTTTAACTTCAAATTTTCGAAATTTGAAGTCATCAAGCTATGGTTGACTATAAGAATTTGGTTGTTAGACAAATTTTTTCATAATGATTTTGGTTAGAATTTTTGAGTTATATTAATTGTAAGATAGTGATATTTTTAATTATATATTCTATAAAAATTATTTGGACAGTGATCTCGAGTTCTTCAAACTAGATTGGGTTACCACTGTTGACAGCCTTCTGTCAATTGGTAGCTATCGACAAAGTCGTCGGTCATGGGTGACCTTGTCGGTGACTTCCAGGGCCAAGTTAGTAAGCCATCTATGGAAAACAGTCGGGTTAACCCTTGGATGATCTAGCCTACTACTGAGCTTGCCCATAAAACCAATAGCCGGCTTTTCCACAACTAGCATAGACATCGTCAAGCAACACTGACCAACCATCTCTGGTGACTTCAATGACCATTGTTGTCCGCCAATCCTGTCCAAAAACTGTAAAGCCCTAAAACCTAATGGTCAATTTTCTCTCTATTTTTTCCCTAGCTAACTCAGATGCTTAGCACTATAGAGTCAATTGGTTGTAGTGGTGGTGGTCGAAGTTACCAAAGATGATCAATTGCCATGGTGGTGGTCAAAGTCAATATCAATAGACATGGGCAACAAATCTTTTGTGAATCAAGTTGGGTTTAGTCGTGTTAACAAATCTTGTCTAGTAGCGAGGCTTGAGACTATGAGCAATTGGTCAGCATTGCCAAGCTACACTAACAACAGTGGCGTTGTGGTCAACTGACAACAGTGGCGTTGTGGTCAACTGACAACATTGGCCGCCTATTATGGCTCAACAATGACATTTATGATAGTAGTAGCTGGCCTAAGTTTTAAGTCATGATTGCAAAATAGGTTTGGAAGCTAACTTCAAATTTTAAGATTTTAGAATCAAAGACTTGACTCATTGGCTTGAGTTGAGAGGCAAATAAACAAATTTTTCTAAAAATTTGACTGCAAACTCCAACATGGTTCATCTAAACAAATTTTGTAGTCATGACTCTAGTAACTCCAATTAACCCCCAACCTCACTAGCTACTCCAACCATTGGTATTTGATGCCACCAGGATGTCAAGACCTACACCATAGCCATCATTCAACATTAGTGATCACCATAGACTACCTTTCAACTATTGCCATCAACTGTCATCCATGGTCACATGAAGACTACCAGCTATCCTTGCATCTAGCATTTCCAAACCATGACAAGGGCTCAGCCTAAAATGGCAAAACAAGTGACCATTGATATTGTTGTCGTAGGCCCCAACAACCGCATCATTGGTCGCCAACAAACAATCATCCATCCATCACCTCACCTCAATGTAGAGTTTGAATCAATTTCTCGAGGTCGATTTCAAAACATGGCAATGGTAGTTTGAGGCCCTACTCAAGTCGATTTACATCTGATGTTAGTTACAGAGCTTTGCCCACTTATGGCATCGCCATATTTTATCAAAATCAGTTGATTTATATTCGTAACCCAGCCAAGCTTGAAGACAAGAGAATCGATGAGAAAATTGTAACTGATGATCCGTGCAATAGAGGCTAGATTTGATCAACGAGCATTATTATGCTCCACTTGTTTGGAGGTTCCCTCATGGGCTATCTCAAGCTTTGTGAATCTCATGTGATAGATGACCAATAAACAATCCCTAGGTTGAAATTATCCAAGCATCTTCTACAAAATGCACAACTTAAAAATATCACAATCTAAATAATTTTCAATATTTATTTATAACTAAAAGAATTTTAAAAAAAAATTGATTATAAAATTTGATTTACAATTAAATTCTTACACCAACCATATAAACGCGATTGATCAAGATCACATTACTTATGAGATAAAAAAAAATCTTATTACCATTAGGATTGGGTTTACCCCGATACAAATCAAAATAATGTCTTTATCATCGATTTTCATACTTATCTAGTAGTTGGTGGAAAGAATAATATCTAAAAATTATATATATAATTAATTAATTAATTAAGCAAAACAAAAACAGAAGAAGGAGAAAGGGAGACATGGAGATGGTTTAAATAATATAGAATTCTTAATTTACCAATACGGGGAGCAATTACATTGATATTATTTAAAAGTTTTAAGATTACAAGGGACAACAACCTGAAAAATGGAGGAAAGGACAGCAGGGGAAGAAAAAAAGTACGCATGGATCTGAAAATGGTTGTGGATTGAACTGCGAATTGCCGAGATCGTCACTCCAGTTCTTGACCGATAAAGTCGGTCAACTGTTGCAGCCAGAGCCCGTGGGATAGCGAGATCGGTCATGCTAGCCGTCGTTGGGAATCGTCACGGTCGTAGTTAACTCCCATTTTTGCGTTCCCACTTCACGTCATATTATAAAGGCTCTGACTTGGACACATTTGTAACTTTATCATATCCTCTGTTTCGAAAGGAGGTCGTATCCTGACTAAGAGGACACTAATACCCTTCCTATCATTAAAAAATGATTTTGCCACAAAGATCCGTGTACACAGGATATCTCATGCCAGGCACCGCCTCTCTGCCTGCTTTGCCAATCCAAGGCTTCCTTGGTGGATTCACTTGGCAAAATACTGAATCACTTCCACCCCACCACATCGCTTCCACGTTGGAATTCTCGCCGAATGCTTATTAACAAGATATTTAAAACCGATCCAAACTAATTAAATTAATTTAAACCAAATTGAACTAACTAAAAATTGATTAAAATCCTAAAAAATCTGTTTAATTTGGTTTTAAAAACCTAACCAAAAATTGATTAAAATAAAAAAAAAATCAGTTTAATTTTGTTTTAAAAACTTATAAACCGATCAATTTGATTCGATTTCTGTTTTGCAAAAAAAAAAAAGTTAAAGCGAACTGAACCAAATCAAACCAATTTTGAAGAGAAAAAGTGATACCCAAAATTATATTGTAATGACCCAATTCTGCTTTTATTTTCTTTGAGGACTAAGGTCCTCGAATTGAAATATTCGGGGGCGAATCTGAAAATTTGGGGATTAAAATGAGGAAACCAGAATGTGGGGGACCAAATTGAAAAAAAAAAAAAAAAGGGAAGGGGACCTTCGGCCGAAGGCTGTAGAAGCTGGATTTTTGCTCCAATAAGAGCTTAACAGCTTGAATCAGCTTTTGGATTGCGTATATAGGGGTTAACCGAGTCTGAGAGGAGAAGTAATTGAGAGATTTCGAGAAAAATCAGGTAGACAGTTGAGCTGGAAGCCGCAGCACCGACGAGCACAACTGGAAAATCTGAGCAATCAAGCTGAGTTTTCTCCGATTAGAAGTGGATGCTGAGTTCGTGAATCACTTTAGTCGAGTCTGAGAAGCTAGAAATTAACTGGGTAAGTGAGCTTTTGCTTCTGTTTGGAAATCTAGTGATCTGGGTCTGTTACAGACCCGGATGGGTGGTTCGGACGCCTCAAACGGGCGAAGAAGAAGGACCCGACTGAGCTAGGTCCCGCGTGAGGGTCGGCCTAGGCTTTGGGCCCGGCTGGGCTTGTCAAGACTATTGGCCCGCGGCCCTAATGCTGCGGGCCAGCCTAGGACCAGGGGGCTTACCCGGCCCGGCTCAGGGAGCAAGGTAAGGACGAAGGGACCCGCATGGGTCCAGGTCCCTGCGTTGGGCCGCTGTCACGCCCGAACCCCGGGCCCGTGACCGGCACTGGGATCCACCAACCCCAGTAAGTCTCAACAAACCAGTCGAACTCCAAATATATAAAACATACACCAAGTGCAATAATATAACATCCAAAAATTACCCGGATCCTGTCGAGAGTACAAGGAAGCTACTCTAGAATACAATCGAGTAAAGTACAAAAGAGAAATGCCCGTACATCCATCAAGTCCGCTGTCGTCGACTCCCACGCGGCACGCTAACCGAGGTGAGTACAGTCAAAGAATCTGGAATGTTTAAAACTATGAGTCGCGAAACTCAGTGAGTACGGATGATACCTAATCTATGCATGTTGGGATACACATCATAACACAAGTCTAAAACCCTAAGCATACAGCGATCAATAAAACATAACAACATACACTCAAGAATACTATCAGCCAACATCAAATCACATCACTGGACTCAGGCCTACCCCACACTAGACGCTACAGTCACCGCACTCCAGCCGAGTCTCCGCCGTCCCTCACGGACTCAGACCGACTCACCTACTGGACGCTACGGATCACCGCACTCTAGCTGAGTTCCTGCCGTCCACAAATCCCGTCACAACACACCACCCTCACATCCAAGTCAAACAGATATACAGCCCATATACAGTCCATGTCTCAAAACCAAAATCACATACTGACACGACTCCCTAATAGT